AGCCGAAAGAGAGCCCTACATACCTACAACATATCCGAAAGATGGTCATCCAGCCTCCACTTGAAAACATCCAGCAAAGGAGCATCCACCACCTACTGAGGCAGACTGTTCCACTGCTCAACCACTCTTACAGTTAGGAAGTTTTTCCTGGTATTTAGCCGGTAACGACTCCCTTGTAATTTCCACCCATTAGATCTAGTCTTGCAATCCGGAGCAAGAGAGAATAGATCTGCTCCATCTTCTACATGACGGCCCTTCAAATACTTGAAGACTGCAATCCTGTCCCCTCTAAGCCTTCTCTTTCCCGGGCTAAACAGACCCAACTCTTTCAGCCTTTCCCAATAAGACTTGGATTCCAAGCCTCTCACCATCCTGGTTGCCCTCTTCTGGACACGCTCGAGCTTGTCAGCATCCTTCCTAAAATGTGGTGCCCAAAACTGGACACAGGACTCCACTACCCAAAGGAGTCTCAGAGCGGCTTACAAACTCCTTTCCCTTCCCCTCCCCACAACAGACACCCTGTGAGGTAGGTAGAGCTGAGAGAGCTCTGACAGAACTGTCCTTGAGAGAACAGTTCAGACAGAACTGTGGCTTGCCCAAGGCCATCCAGCAGCTGCAAGTGGAGGAGTGGGGAATCAAACCTGGTTCTCCCAGATTAGAGTTCGCACACTTGACCGCTGCAACAAACTGATCGGATACCTCCTTTCACGTCCTGCTGGAATGCAGATTTTTTGAGATTATGAGGGTTTACTATATCAAACCTTTATTTGACTAATCGACCCCCCCCCCATACTCTGGAAACCCTGGCTCTTTTGCTCGGGTGAGAAGTATCCCAAGATCACTCTGCCAATTGCAAAATTTGTCTCAGTCCTTAGCCCTAGCATCTAAAAAAATAAGAAATAAATGTTTTCTGCTGCTCAAGATGTTTATCCAATCCCCACTTGAAGCTGTCTATGCTTGTAGCCACCAGTTTGGTGTCGCGGTGAAGTGCGCAGACTCTAATCTGGGAGAACCGGAGTTGATTCCCTGCTGGATGACCTTGGGCATGCCACAGTTCTTTGAGAGCTGTTCCCTCAAGGACAGTTCTCTCAGAGCTCTCTCAGCCCCGCCTACCTCAGAGGGAGTCCGTTGCGGGGAGGGGAAGGGAAAGGAGTTTGTCAGCCGCTCTGAGGCGGGGTATAAATCCAATCTCCTCCTCCTCCTCTTCCTCTTCCTGTGACAGTGCATCCCACGGGTTAATGACTCCTTGGGTGAAAGAGGACTTTTTCTCCGTTCTTACTGCTCATCAGTTTCATCGAGTGAACACACAGATTCAAGCCCAGGGGCAGTTTAGGAACCAAATATGATTTTTAAGGGTCGAAGCCCGGGATCCCCAACCCTTTTGAGACGGTGAGCACCTTTAGAATTCTTAAACAGGGCAAAGGGCATAACCATAAAATGGCTGCCACAGGAGGCGGAGCCAACCACAGAGAGGAAGCCCAGTTCGGGGGAGAAGAGGGGCTGGGGAGCGCGAGAGGATAAAACCAACCCCGGGGTGGCAGGTGCCGCTGGGACAGTGTCGTTTTAATCTGCAGAAGCCATCAGATCTCCAGTGACCAATGAGAAGCCCTGCTGGGGAAGAGCTGCACCCAGTTTCCAAAGACGCTTGGTGGGCACCAGAAAAGGTGTCACCAGGCACCCTGCCCACGGACACCATCGTCAGATGCCGTCTGAGCCAGTTTGTTGTAGTGGTCAGGAGCACGGACTCTAATTTGGAAGAACCGGGTTTGATTCCCCACTCCTGCACCTGCAGCTGCTGGTGTGACCTTGGGTCAGTCACAAGTTCTCTCAGAGCTGTTTTCTCAGGAGCAGTCCTCGAAAGAGCTCTCTCAGCCCCACCTACCTCACAGGGTGTCTGTTGCGGGAAGGGGAAGGGAAAGGAGAATGTAAACTGCTGTGAGATTCCGAGTGAAGGGAGGGGTATAAATCCAATCTCCTCCTCCTCCTCCTCCTCTTCTTCTTCCTGAGCTTTGCCTCTCAAAAGCTAACCCCCCACACACAACTTTCTTGGTCTCTCAGGTGCTGCTGGACTCGAACCCAGCTCTTCTACCACAGACCAACGTTCCCTCTAAGCTATGGAGGCTTGTGAGCAAAAATTCTACTTTGTGAGCTACTGGCATAAAAGCTGTGAGCAAGTGATTTGACTGCTACATAAATTAGTTTGCTCTGGAGCCATCTTTCCTGAGCAAAGACAAAAATGTGTGAGCCGGAGGCTGAAAGACTGTGAGCTAGCTCACACTCACTCAGCTTAGAGGGAACCCTGCCACAGACCCCCCACGGCTGCCGGCTGAAACTATCTGTATGAACACAGCGGCCTTCGCTGAGCCGCTCTTCTTCCACCCGCTACGTGGGGAGAATAACTCTGTCCAACCTCGCAGGGCCGTTTTCCAGAAAGCACTTGAAGGGCTCAGGGTGCGTGCCAGCACAGAAGGGCTCTATACATTCTCAGCGTTACGGCGGAGTGCAGGCGAGGGAGCGCTCGAAGCTGTGCACGTGGCGTTCCGGATTCTTTCCCCCCGCCCTGCCTCCGCCTCACGGTCTGATGTTTACAGTGCAGAAGAGGCGCGGGAGAGAGAGCTGTGAGGTCAAGAAAGCGCTCGGGACCCTCACCTTTGCCCTCGCCGTCGGTGTCCCCGTTTCCCCCCAAGCGCGCTCTCCGGTCCCTGGAAGGGGATTTCCACTGTAACGGGATCCGCAATGCCAGCTGTTGCAGGCGCAGTTCCTGGCGGCGGGAAAGAGCAGGTGGGGTGGGAGGGGTGTTAAATCCCCTGCTTACTCCCTAAATTAACAGGACCGGGAGCGGAATCGATATTTATAGCGTTGGCGAGGCTCAGGTATGGCTCAGAGAGCCGGTGGAAAATGGACTTAAATATCCATCTGCAGGCTGTGGAAGGTCGGCAGTTCGGCAGTTCGAGACCCGAGTGTGCCGCGTGACGGAGTGAGCCCCCGTCTCTAGTTCCAGCTTCTGCCAACCTAGAGGTTCGAAAGCAAGAAATGGCAAGTAGATAAATAGGTACCGCTTCGGTGGGAAGGTGACAGCGTTCCGTGCGCCTTGGTGCTTAGTCATGCCGGCCACATGACCACGGAAACGTCTTCGGACAGCGCTGGCTCTGCGGCTTGGAAACGGAGATGGGCACCGCAACCCTAGAGTCGGATTCAACTGGCTTTCGAGCAAGGGAACCTTTACCTTTACCTCTTTACCATACGCGGAGGGGGGCGGCGTGTAGGAGAAGCCAACTGGCCTCGAAGGAGCGATGGTTGCCGGGTGCAGCGTCCATGTTGGGGGCCGGGTTCCCATCCTCCAGGTGGGGGCTGGAGACCTCTAGGTAGGTTTGGAACGGACAAAAGGAAATGCTGCTTGACGCAGCGAGTGATTAAAATGTGGGATTTGCTGCCGGAGGATGTAGCGATGGCCACAGGAACAGACAGCCGTCGATTCATGGAGGATAAGTCGATCGGTGGCTACTAGGCATGGTGACTGAGGGGAACCTCCACATTCAGAGGCAGTCAAACTCTGAATCCCAGAGCCAGGAGGCAACTTCCGGGGAGGGCCTCGGCCTCCCTGCCCTGTTGTTGGCCCTCCAGGGGAACGGGTTGGCCCCTGTGTGAGACAGGATGCTGGACTAGATGGACCCTCCCTGGGCTGACCCAGCAGGGCTCTTCTGATGTTCTTCTCAGGGGAAGCCCTCGGCCTCTCTGCCCTGTTGTTGGCCCTCCAGGGGAACGGGTTGGCCCCTGTGTGAGACAGGATGCTGGACTAGATGGACCCTCCCTGGTCTGACCCAGCAGGGCTCTACTGGTGGCCTTCTCTGGGGAAGGCCTCGGCCTCTATGCCCTGTTGTTGGCCCTCCAGGGGAACTGGTTGGCCCCTGTGTGAGACAGGATGCTGGACTAGATGGACCCTCCCTGGTCTGACCCAGCAGGGCTCTTCTGAGGTTCTTCTCAGGGGAAGGCCTCGGCCTCTATGCCCTGTTGTTGGCCCTCCAGGGGAACTGGTTGGCCACTGTGTGAGACAGGATGCTGGACTGGATGGACCCTCACTGGTCTGATCCCTCCCACTCTTCCCCCCTCCCAAGCACCAATAAAATAGAGCATCACTGCCCCAGACATAAGAATGTAAGAGAAGCCATGTTGGAACAGGCCAGTGGCCCACCCAGTCCAACACTCTGTGCCACACAGTGGCCAAAACCCAGGGGCCATACTGAGGTCCACCAGCAGGGCCAGAACTCCAGAAGCCCTCCCACTCTTCCCCCCCCCCAAGCACCAAGAAGACAGAGCATCCCTTGCCCCAGACAGAAGAACATGAGAGAAGCCATGTTGGGTCAGGCCAATGGCCCCTCCAGTCCAACACTCTGTCTGTCACACAGTGGCCAAAACCCAGGGGCCATCAGGAGGTCCACCAGTGAGACCAGCATTCCAGAAGCCCCCCCCCTTTCTTGCCCCCCAAGCACCAAGAATACAGAACATGAAATCATATTTGGAAGCTTTTCAGAAGGGGGATTTCAGAAAGCAGATGGTGTCCAGCAGAAAAGATCCTCGGTATCTGTCGGCCGTGCGTGGCCAGCCGACAGTAGAGCAGAGAGAGGAATGTTATTGGTTGCTGGTGTTGTTGGAATGTTATTGTTTGCTGGGATGTTATTGTTTGCTGGAATGTTATTGGTTGCTGGAATGATATTGGAATGTTATTGGTTGCTGGTGTTGTGTGACCCCCCCCCTCCTGCTGGGCTCTTACCTGCAATGCCACCCTCTGGCCACTGGCGATGGTGGTGCTACCGAGCAGGGAAAATATAGGGCCCGCAAGTTCCTACATTTGTTAAGCTTCCATGAGGGCTCCGGTGCTCCGGTGCTCCGGTACAGGGACTTTCAGCCACGTTTCGAGACCCACATGAGGCTTTCCTGCACCGGCATTTTTGGTGAAAATTAACATTCCCACCCCCTCCCTTGTGCTGTTTCTCCTCTCCAGGGTCTGCAGAAAGAAGCATGATTCGCTCCTAGGGTCTGGCTCGCTCGGTCCTGGACTCCCTGAGAATGCTCCTTTCCTCCCTCCCTCCTGGCCTCCTCCTCCTCTTCGCCCTCGCGTCTAAAGCCTCCTTTCCAAAGGACCTCGTTCCCGTGAGCACGGTCGGTTTGGCAGGTGAGTGTGCCGTGAAACAGAACCTGCGCATCGTAACACTGGCAAGACGCTCCTTTTTGAAACACTGGCTGATTGGTGAGCTAGTTTGGTGTAGTGGTGAAGTGCGCAGACTCTAATCTGGGAGAACCAGGTTTGATTCCCCACTCCTCCACTCGCACCTGCTGGATGACCTTGGGCAAGCCGTAGTTCTGATAAGAGCTGTTCTTGAAAAAGAGCCATTTCTGTCAAGAACTCCCTCAGCCCCACCTACCTCACAGGGTGTCTGTTGTGGGGAGGGGAAGGGAAAGGAGTTTGTAAGCCAGACACTTTTGGGTAGTGAAGGGCAGGGTATAAATCCTCTTCTTCCTTCCTGAGCGGAGACAAAGATGTGTGAGCTGCAGGCTAGAAAACTGTGAGCTGGCTCACACTCACTCAGCTTAGAGGGAACACTGGCTCTGCTCACTGGGTTCACGTTTCCAGTGGGTGGCTCATCACAGCCAGAGTCCGATGGAGGAAACCAGAGTGGTGTTGCAGATGCCTGTTGGCCAGTCCACCCCTCATAAGAGTCTTGTATTTTTAAGAGCCGGTATTTTTTAGAACCTGCGCATCGTAACACTGGCAAGATGCTCCTTTTTAAAACACTGGCTGATTGGTGAGCTAGTTTGGTGTCATAGTTAAGTGCGCGGACTCTAATCTGGGAGAACCGGGTTTGATTCCCCACTCCTCCACTTGCACCTGTTGGATGACCTTGGGCAAGCCGTAGTTCTCCCTCTGAGTTGGAGGACATCCTGTGTGGGTGATTCCCATCCATCATTCAGGGAGGCAGGACTTACAAAAGAACTTCCTGTTTCCTGTGGTGGGAGCACGCCTTTCCTCAGTTCTTTTCCTGCCTCAAGAGGGAGAGCAGCTCGTTAGGCTTTGCCAAACCTTTTACCTTTCTTGCCGTTTCTGTCAGAGCTCTCTCAGCCCCACCTACCTCACAAGGTGCCTGTTGTGGGGAGGGGAAGGGAAAGGAGTTTGTAAGCCGCTCTGAGACTCCCTTGGATAGTGAAGGGCGGGGTATAAATCCAATCTTTTCTCTTCTTCTCCTGCACCATTTGTTACAAGACAGCCAGTAATTTACCAGGTGCTGCTTTCTCCCCAGCTGTTCAGGGCTGGTGGAGAAATCTAAGCCCTGTTGCATTCCCGCCTGTTGCCGCACCTTTTAAAGTCAAATGAGCTCAGCTGAAGGGGAAAAGGTGGTCGTCTGTATTCGGGGAGGGTCTCAGAAAGCTCCCCCCCCCTAAGATTGCACTATCTTTGCCCAACCTGATGGTGCTTTGCAGGGGTCATTTCTTAGAAAAAGAGGTGCAGGAACTCATTAGCATAACTCATTAGCATAACTCATTTGCATATGCCACACACCCTGACCTCACCGGACGTTTGTCAGAAGGCAACACCCACCGCTCAGGCTCCACTGGACTGTTTTGGATCGCTAGCTATTGGGGGGGGGGGGAGGAGAAGGACATGATCCGCCGCGCCGGATAAAACTTGGTCTTAAAGGTGCCACTAGGACTGTTTTGAATTGCTAGCTATTGGGGGGGGGGAACGTGCAGATCTGTCCTCGCAGAGGAGGGAGAGCTTGTACCTGAATAAAACTTGGTCTTAAAGGTGCCACTAGGACTGTTTTGAATTGCTAGCTATTGGGGGGGGGGAATGTGCAGATCTGTCCTCGCAGAGGAGGGAGAGCTTGTACCTGAATAAAACTTGGTCTTAAAGGTGCCACTGGACGGTTTTGGGGTGGGGGGCCGGGGGGGTCTGCAACTTACCTGGCTGCTTCTTGCTCTGACTAAGGGCTGCTGGGAGCAGGGGGTGGGGCTTCTTGCATGTGCCCACCCCCTGGGCTCTTTACTGCCGGAGCTCCGCTCTTGTGCGCTCCCGCAGGAAATGGCCCCTGGTGCTTTGGAGGGCGGACCTCGCGGCATTGTACCCCACCTTTTTCGGGCTGCATCCTTAAATATCCTGGAACTTCCCAACCTGGAGTCGCAACTCTATTGTTTTGGGAGCATCAGGAGCACGGAGGAAAGAGGGCCCAGGGTTGATGGCCAGTGGTGGCCATCTTTGGGCTGTCCAGTGGTTCCCTTCTTCGTGGGCACAGGCAGAGAAAAGTCCCGGGCGAACTAGACTTGCGGTACTCTGTTGAAAGTCGGCAGCCCAAGGAGTAATTCAAGGAGGGGACTTGGCCGCAGCCCATGAATGCTTCCAGTATAGAGTTGCGAACCTCCAGGTGGGTGTAGAAACAACAGAGAGTTCACGGGAAGGATGCAAACAATGATGAAAACAGCCGTGATGTAGTATTATGAAAATATATTTAGACTACTGTTTTGCAGTGAGTAGTATTGCTTCAACAAGTGATAAAAATGTACGTATACACACAATGGGATTTGCATATACTACCGTTTCACATGACCGCTTTTTCTAAGAGTGCTGTGTGAGTAACATTAATTTAAAAGGTAAAGGTTCCCTTGCTCGAAAGCCAATCGAATCCGACTCTAGGGTTGCGGTGCTCTTCTCCATTTCAAAGCCGAAGAGCCAGCGCTGTCCGAAGACGTTTCTGTGGTCATGTGGCCGGCATAACTAAACACCAAGGCGCACGGAACGCTGTTACCTTCCCAGTGAAGTGGTACCTATTTATCTCCTTGCAATTTCTTGCTTTCAAACTGCTAGGTTGGCAGGAGCTGGGGCCAGAGATGGGGGCTCACTCCGTCATGCGGCACACTCGGGTCTCGAACTGCTGAACTACCGACCTTCCACAGCCTGCAGTTCAGCGTCTTGACCACTTGAGCCACCGCAGCTCCTAACATTACTTTACATGTCGTCAATTCTAATCCGTGAAATTAACACTCAACATTTATTTCTTCCCACTTCAACTAAACAACTTATTTCCATGTTCCTTTCTGTGAATCTGTTTCATTGAAGTAAGAAGAATGCTGAGTGTTAATTTCAATTCATTAGAATTGTTGACGTGTAAACTAATGCTACTTACGCAGCACACTTAGAAAAAGCGGTCATGTGAAACGGTCATATATGCAAATTCCATGGTGTGTATGCGTACGTCTTCAGTGCCGCGGCGGATCGGTACCGTTGTACTGGGATGGAGGCAACATCTATTCGATACCATCTGTTTTAAATTTAAGAGTAACAGCACTGAGCACTTTATGTAATGTTTGGTTATTTATTCTGTTTTCTCCAGTTCCAATTGGTTTTATGGATTGGCACTCGGTGCCCCATTTGTTAGCCGCCCTGAGCATATTCGTGGGGAGGGCGGGGTAGAAATTTAAATAAATAAAACTTTATTACTTGTTGAAGAAATACTAACTGCAAAACAGCAGTCTAAATATATTTTCATAATACTATATCATGGCTGTTTTCATCATTGTTAGCCTCCAGGTGGGGCCTGGAGATCTCATAAGAACATAAGAGAAGCCCATGTTGGATCCGGCCACTGGCCCCTCCAGTCCAACACTCTGTCTCACACAGTGACCAAAACTCAGGGGCCATCAGGAGGCCCACCAGCAGGGCCAGAACTCTCCAGAACCCCTTTCACTGTTATTCCCCAAGCACCAAGAAATACAGAACATCACTGCCCCAGGCATAAGAACATAAGAGAAGCCCATGTTGGATCAGGCCACTGGCCCCTCCAGTCCAACACTCTGTATCACACAGTGACCAAAACTCAGGGGCCATCAGGAGGCCCACCAGCAGGGCCAGAACTCTCCAGAACCCCTCCCACTGTTATTCCCCAAGCACCAAGAAATACAGAACATCACTGCCCCAGGCATAAGAACTTAAGAGAAGCCAATGTTGGATCAGGCCAGTGGCCCCTCCAGCCCAACACTCTGTGTCACACAGTGGCCAAAACTCAGGGGCCATCAGGAGGTCCAGCAGGGGGGCCAGAACTCTCCAGAATCCCTCCCACTGTTGCCCCCCTAGGCACCAAGAAGACAGAACATCCCTTGCCCCAGACATAAGAACATAAGAGAAGCCAATGTTGGATCAGGCCAGTGACCCCTCCAGCCCAACATTCTGTGTCGCACAGTGGCCAAAACCCAGGGGCCATCAGGAGGTCCACCAGGGGGGCCAGAACTCCAGAACATAGCTGCCCCCCAGGCGCCAAGAATACAGAGCATCACTGCCCCAGACATAAGAACGAAAGCGAAGCTATGTTGGATCATCAGGCCAATGGCCCATCCAGTCCAACACTCTGTGTCACACAGTGGCCAAAAATACCAGGTGCCATCAGGAGGTCCAGCAGTGGGGCCAGAAATCACCCTCCCACTCTTGCCACCCCAAAGCACCAAGAATACAGAGCATCACTGCCCCAGACAGAGTGTTCCCTTTATAGCTTGTGGCTAATAGCCACTGATGGACCTCTGCTCCATATAAGAACATAACAGAAGCCATGTTGGATCAGGGCAAAGGCCCATCCAGTCCAACACCAGGTGCCATCAGGAGGTCCAGCTGTGGGGCCAGAACTCCAGAAGCCCTCCCACTGTTCCCCCCCCAAGCACCAAGAAGACAGAGCATCACTTGCCCCAGAGCGAGAGTCCCTATCTATACCTTGTGGCTAATAGCCCCTGATGGACCTCTGCTCCATATGCTTATCCAATCCCCTCTTGAAGCCGTCCATGCTTGTAGCCGCCACCACCTCCTGTGGCCGTGAATCCCATGTGTTGATCACTCTTTGGGTGAAGAAGTGCTTCCTTTGATCCGTTCTAACCCGACTGGGTGGGTCAAGAGCCCTGCCGCTTTGTGCTTTTCGAGGTCCTAGGTCATCCTCAGAAAAAGAAGACCGTTTGTAACAGCACATCTCTCTTCCCCCCCCCCCACCAGGCACAGCCCAGTGTCCTTATTTCCGAGGTCTTCCAGGGGACAATGACACCGCCCAGCTGGGCCTGGATTTCCAAAGCATGCTGCGACTCAACCAGACGCTTTTCATCGCAGCCCGGTAAGCGATGGGGGTCGGCAGCCATTTTGTTTCCCTATCGGGGCCAGCCCAAAGGCTTCTGGGTGCTGAGGGCAGTCGGCTGAGTTCCTCCCCACAATAACCTGGCTTTCCCCAGGTTGCCCTCCGGCCGGGCGGCCTCAACAAGGCCAACTTGAGTTGCTGGTTGACGTGGCAACCTAGGAAATGGAGCTGTGCCAGTGGGCAGGCCGCCCCTCTTCCCTCATATCCCAAACTTTGGTTGCTAAAAAGGTTGTCGGGTCCTTGAACTTATGAAGCTGACTTATTCTGATTTAGACCCTTGGGCTTTCAAGGTCAGTACTGCCTGTTCAGACTGGCAGCAGCTTTCCAGGGTCTCCGGCAGAGAGGTCTTTCCCATCACCTCCTGCCTGGTCCTTTTGAACTGGAGATGCCAGGGATTGAACCTGGGACCTCCTGCGTGCCAAGCAGAGGCTCTTCCACTGAGCTACGGCCCTTTTCCATGGCTCTCCAGGGTCTCAGGCAGAGGTCTTTCCCATCCCCTACTGCCTGGCCTTAACTGGAGACGTTGGGGATAGAACCTGGGATCTTCTGCATGCCAAGCAGATGCTCTGACACTGAGCTACGGCCATTCTCCGTGGCTCTCCAGGGTCTCAGGCGGAGGTCTTTCCCATCCCCTACTGCCTGGTCCTTTTTAACTGGAGATGCCGGGGATTGAACCTGGGACCTTCTGCATGCCAAGCAGATACTCTGACACTGAGCTACGGCCATTCTCCGTGGCTCTCCAGGGTCTCAGGCGGAGGTCTTTCCCATCCCCTACTGCCTGGTCCTTTTTAACTGGAGATGCCGGGGATTGAACCTGGGACCTTCTGCATGCCAAGCGGAGGCTCTTCCACTGAGCCATGGCCCCTCTTTACAGCTCTCCAGGGTCTCAGGCGGAGGTCTTTCCCATCCCCTACTGCCTGGTCCTTTTAACTGGAGTTGTTGGGGATAGAACCTGGGACCTGCATGCCAAGCAGATGGTCTGCCACTGAGCCATGGCCCCTCCCTAAAACACAAAGCTGCCTTATACTGAATCAGACCCCCTTGGTCCATCAAGGTCAGTATTGCCTACTCAGACTGGCAGCAGCTCTCCAAGTTTTTAGATAGAAGTCTTTCCCATCACCCACGACTCGATCCTTTTAACTGGCGATGCCAGGGATTGAACCTGGGAACGTCTGCGTCCAAACCAGATGCCCTCCCACAGCTCCTGCCTTCTGCGCAGTGACCCAGTATTGACATATGCAGAGTCCTAATGCCTAAAAGGGTGCCTCTGTTCATGTGCAGAATGTCTTCATGCATGCATTACATTTTTGATCCTGCCGTCCCGTAAGGAGTTCAGCGCAATAAGAACATAAGAACATAAGAGACGCCAATGTTGGATCAGGCCAAAGGCCCATCCAGTCCAACACTCTGTGTCACACAGTGGCCAGAAATACCAGTGCCATCAGGAGGTCCAGCAGTGGGGCCAGGACATTAGAAGCCCTCCCACTGTTGACCCCCCCCCCCCAAGCACCAAGAAGACAGAGCATCACTTGCCCCAGAGCCCCTAGCTATACCTTGTGGCTAATAGCCACTGATGGACCTCTGCTCCATATGCTTATCTAATTCCCTTTTGAAGCCGTCCATGCTTGTAGCACCCACCACTTCCTGTGGCAGTGAATTCCATGTGTTAATCACTCTTTGGGTGAAGAAGTACTTCCTTTTATCCGTTCTAACCCGACCGCTCAGCAGTTTCATGGAGTGCCCACGAGTTCTTGTATTGTGAGAAAGGGAGAAAAGTACCTCTTTCTTTACCTGCTCTTTCCCATGCATAATCTTATAAACCTCGATCATGTCACCCCTCAGTCGTCTTTTCTCCAAGCTAAAGAGCCCTAAGCGCTTTAACCTTTCCTCATAGGGAAAGTGTTCCAACCCTTTTATCTGGTTCTCCGCTGCCCTCCCAACACACAAGAAGGGCATTCATGCACGGTGAAATCTCCACTTTTAATGCCCTTTCCAACTGGATTTTATGGTGTGAGACGGCAAAATCCACTTGCAAGTGATTCCCAGAGTGCATGGGAAGGGGGTTGAAAGTGCATTAATCCGAGCATGTGGAAGGGCCCGCAGTCTTTTCCTTAGCGATACGGTTTAAATTGAGGGAATCACAATTATCTCAAGGTCAACTCAGGTCAGAGTTCGAGGCTCTGCCTCCTTGGAGTAAACACAGATTAAGAATGCCAGACCCCCAGTAGGGGAGGGGGGATCCCACCGCCAGCCCCCCCCCTCTCTGCCACCACCCAGCTGGCCAGCGGGGGGGGGGATTACCCACTCAAAAAGGAGGAATGCCCGGCATATCAGATACATGCCTATGTGACCCATAAGAGACACAGGCACGTCGGGGCGGTACTGTCGTTTGGGGGGCAAAAACTCTATGGTAGAAGCTACACCCCTTTGGTGTCGTGGTTAAGAGTGCAGACTCTGGTCTGGGAGAGCCGGGTTTGATTCCCCACTCCTCCACTTGCACCTGCTGGATGACCTTGGGCAAGTCATGGTTCTGTCAGAGCTGTTCTTGAAAAAGAGC